ATGATTTCAGAGGGAAAGGGAGAGGGAGAGAGAGATAGAAACATCAATGATAAGAGAGACTCATTGATTGATTGGCTGCCACCTGCTTACCCCACACAGGAGATCAAGCCCGCAGCCCTGGCATATGCCCTGACTAGGTATCCACCCATGACCTCCTGGTTATTAGGTTGATTGTCAACCACTGAGCCTCACCGGCCAGACTATATTTTACTTTTGGGTTCCATTTACACATGGCTAGTGTATAGAAATAGAATCATTTTTGTGTATTGACCCATGATTTTGCTAAAATCATAAATTAATTCTAGGACATTTTGGAGTTGATTCTTTTGATTTTTTTCTTAGATAAATATGTCACATGCAAGTAAGGACACCTTGTGTCTTTTGTTCACATTTTAATGTCTCCAATGTATTTTTCTTGTCTTATTTCACTTGTTAAAACATCAAGTACAATGTTGAATATAGGTGGTAAGAGTGGACCATTTTTACTTTGGCCCCATCTGAGGGGGAATCATTTAACTTCCCACAATGAAATATGATAGTAGCTACAGGAGTCCCATGATCAGTTTGAGGAAGTGCCCTTTTATCCCAAATTCACTAAGCGTTTTTATTATGAATGAATGCTGTGCTTTGTCACACACATTTTTGTATCAATTTATACGACCATGTGAATTTTCTTCTTACACAGTTGACCTGCTGGAATCAACTGATTAATTTTAAAATATTGAATCAGCTTACCCTAGCTGGTTGGGCTCAGTGGATAGAGTGTTGGACTGCAGACTGAAGGGTCCCAGGTTTGATTGCGTTCAACGTCATATGCCCGGGTTGGGGGCTGTATCCCCAGTAGGGCACATGCAGGAAGCAGATGATCAATGATTCTCTCTCATCTTTGAGGTTTCTATCTCTCTCTCCCTCTTTCTTCCTCTCTGTGATCAGTAAAAACATTTTTAAAAATATTGAATCAGCTTTGAATTGTTGTGATAATTCCTGCTTTGTCCTGATGCAGTATCATTTTCTTATATTGCTGGTAAGATTTGCTAATATTTTGTTAAAGAATTTAGTACATATGTTAACAGATTTCAGTGTGCTGTTTACTATTTATTTGTACTGACTGCACAAATAATGCCAGTCTCATAAGAATGCATTGGGGAATGTGTATTAATTAATTAACTTCTGATTTTGGTCATTTGTCTCTTTGCCAGTCTTGTTAGCATTTGATTAGTTTTATTTACCTTTTCAAAGATTCAGATGTTGGTATCATTCATTTTCTCTATCATTTTTCTGTTTTGATTTCATTAATTTTGGTTCATTTTTATTTTTAATTCTTTCTGCTTGATATTGATTTTCCTTACCTAATTTTTAAAAATCTTTACTATTGAGAGTATTACTGATGTCTCACTTTTCCCCCCCATATTACCCCTCCACCACATTCCTATTTCACCCTGAGGACTTCACCACCCTCCTCTCTGGGTCCATAGGTAATGCATATGTGCATATATGTTCTTTGTTTAATCACTTTCCACCCTTCCCTTCCCCTTTCCCTCTGAGATATGTCAATCTGTTCCATCTTTTCATGCCTCAGGTTCTATTTTATTCATCAGTTTATTTTGTTCATTAGATACCTTGTTTGTTTTTTGGTTCTTAGATTCAGTTATTGATAGATATGTATTCATTGCCATTATTTTATTATTTTTTATATTTTTATTAATCTCTGAGAGGAAGGGAGAGGGAGAGAGAAATAGAAACATCAATGATGACAGAGAATCACTGGTCAGCCACCTTCTGCATGCCCCCCCACTGGGGACTAAACCCACAACCCTGGCATGTGCCCCCAACTGGAATCAAATGTGAAACCTTTCAGTCAGCAGGCCAACGCTCTATCCACTGAGAAAAGCCGGATAGGGCCTTGTTCATTATCCCTTCTTCCTCCTCCTCCTCCTCCTCCCCTTCTTCTTCTTCTTCTTCTTCTTCTTCTTCTTCTTCTTCTTCCCCTTCCTCTTCTTTCTTTTCCTCCTCCTCCTCCTCCTATTCCTCCTTCTCCTCCTCCTGGATGTGTGGAGTTGTAATCTTGTGTGGTCTGAAGGTGTCCACCAGTTGAACTAGCTCTAGGACCTCCTGGAAGGTGCAAAGTCAGTCACTGCCTAGGGCCACCAACCAGGAGCTACAGGGGGATCTGCAGGTGGCTGCTACTTGTATTGGGCTTGGAAGTGCCCAGGTGAGGACAAGTTGTGAAGCAAGGCAGGCTGGTGCTAGTGCCAGGTCTTGGGCCTCTTATTGATAGGTTTGGGGCATGCTGATGCCAGTTGCTGCTTGTTTGAGATATTTTAGGAGACTCTGAAGCTTGAGACAGGACAAGCCATTCATATGGAAAAGCTGCTGCAAACTGCTTGGGTGGGGCTGCAATTTGGATAGGGTGAGTTCTCAGAGAATCACCGGGGCAGAGCAAACTGTGTGAGCCATACTGATGGAACCTCAGATATGGATTTGAGGCAGCTATGTGATGGGGGAGGTCCCAGTACAGAAACAATGACTCCCTAGGATCAGCCCTGTCTGGGAGAAATCACCCCAAGTTGCTGCCCTAAATGCCAGACAACCCAGTTCTTCCCTGTATGTCCCTGGATCCCCCAATTTCACCACCTACAGATGGAGCTCAGAGGAAGTTGGACCCTGTAGGTTCCTGTGCTGGCCCTTTAAAAGGAGCAGCCTGGGTCTCAAGCTGCTTCCATGTCACTCAGTGATAATTGTTTCTGGTTTTTACAACCTGAAGTTCTGAGGACTTCTGTTTCCAGTTCTGGAACCCTTGTGTTGGGGTCTTGTGTGGGGCTGGGACCCTTTGCTTCTCACAGGAGACCCCCACAGCTGAGATATCCCCCCTGATTAAGCACACACCACCTGTGAGTGTCTGACTAGCTCGTTCTCCACCTCCGCCCTTCCTACCAGTCTCCATGTGCTTTCTTCTTTACCTCCCTAGTCCGGAATGATGGTTGTTCTCTATTTTAGTTGTACACTTCATGTGATTGTGGGAGGCAGCGAGAACATGCAATTACCCAGAAAGTATTCTCAAGGGTGAGGAGGCCCTGATTTTAAGTGGAAGCCAACTGTGTGTCTGTGGTCGCCATGTGGTCCTTAGCATATGAGAAGTGTCTGCACAAAGGGTAAGAGGTGAGGAGAAGTCCTGGCCTCTGGGGCTTCTCTTGGAAGGAGGTGCTGATTGTGCCCTCAGAGAACCAGGCCCTCCTTGGGGTCCTGGTCACTGTGCCCAGGGACCTCTTCTTCCACAGCAGGAGATGTGCTGCAGGAGGTGGTCAGGAAGTAGGATGTGAGAACAATCAGTGAATCCTTAGGGATCAAGTCAATGTGCCTCTTCATGGAGGGATATTGATAGATAGATATAGATATAGATATATAGATATAGATATACTGGTAGATATAGATAGTTATATAGATATAGATCTTCCTTTTTTAAATGATCCTTTGAGGATATTTTATTGACTTTTAGAGGGAAAGGAAAGGTGACAGAGAGAAACATTGATGTGAGAGAAAAATATTGATCAGTTAGTTGCCTCGCATATATGATTCTACAAGGAATCCAACTTGAAATATTTTTATGTATTTATTTATTTTTAAAGTATTTTTCTTATTGATTTTAGAGAGGAAGGGAGAGGGAGATAGAGATAGAAACATCAATGATGACAGAGAATCATTGATTGGCTGCCTTCTGAATGCCCCTCACTGGGGATGTTTCCTGCATCCTGGGCATGTACCCTGTCTGGGAATGGAACAGTGACCTCCTGTTTTATAGGTCGATGTTCAACACCTGAGCCTCACTGGCCAGGCACTTCCTGAACTTTTAGGATTCACAGAGCTCCCTGTGTACCTGGGCTTTGGTCAGTGGGACTGTGGCAACATTAAAGGTGACCAGGCACCAGCCCTCCCCTGTCTGTCCTCTGACCCCAGTGGCCATGGGATTATCCCCCATGATGCTCTGCAGCTCACTGGTCCCCAGGAGGTTCCCTCAGCACAGGTGTGAGCTATTGGAGGTGCTCTGAGGTCAGTGGCCAGCTGTGTCTCCACCTGTCAGAGATGGGGCCTGCATGGCCTGACATCACACATGGGCACTGCATGTGGGCTCAGCAGGGTGGCTGAGGCTGGCTTTATGCCCCCTGAGTATCCCTAGCCCTGGCATCTCAGGGATGGACTGGCACAGGAGATGGGCATGAGGGGATGGCATGGGGGTGCATTTAAGGCAAAACCTACCAGGCGGGAAGGAGAGGGCAGAGCGTAGCCACATGGGACGTCCTGTGCAGACTCGCTGGGGTGAGAATGTGGGCGGCAGAGGACAGAGGGTGAGGATGGGGTGGTGTCTGTGGAGCCTGGAGGCACAGCAGAGGTGGGTGGGGACCAAGTCTCCTTCAGCAGGTTCTCAGGATCCAGGTGGATTCTCTAAGGGAAGTTGGACAGGTGTTGGGATGTGTCCCCTGGGACCAGGTTCTAAGACACATGGGGAACAGGGCCCAGCTGGGCTGTGACAGGCCCCATCACTAGGCCTCCTTTCTGCCTCCCTCCAAGACACCCTGGGAGCTGTGTCTCCCTCCCGACCTCACCCAGGGGCAGCCCTTGCAGGCTCAGACCCTAAACCTCGAGGTGCAGCAATGTCAGTGAGAGGCAAATGGTTAACTGCCCACACGGACTCCTCCCAGGGCAGAGAGAGGGGCTGATCACCCTCAGGTGAGGTTTTGGGCCTGGACTCCTTGTACCCTGCTCAGCACTGCGTGGAAGGTGGGGATACTCGCTCTCAGTGATGGGGACAGAAATCCCTACAATATTTTCCTTGTCAACCCAGAGAGCGACCATCAGGGACATGGTGACAGAAAGGGCACAGATGAAAAGTGGACCGGATCAGAAAACACAAGTTACCGTCTACTTTTTTTGCCTGCAGAGAATCTAATTAAAGTCCCAAAGAAGGAAGCAGGAACTTCCCCAGGGACAACAGGAGGGAAGAAAGCATTGAACACAATAGGAAGCCTGCACAACCCCTCCAGGGACAGCTTCTGAGCTGGGACCTGAGTTTGCTGGTCCTGAGCACCCCCTGTAGCCCAGTCCTGCTGCCTCCCTCAGTGAGGTTTGTGTCTGGGCTCACACTGACTTCCCCTCACTGTGTGTCTGTCTCTCTCGCACAGTAATACAGGGCCGTGTCCTCAGCTCTCAGGCTGTTCATTTGTAGATACAGCATGTTCTTGGCGTTGTCTCTGGAGATGGTGAATCGGCCCATCACAGAGGCGGCATAGTATGTGGTACTACTATCACCATTAATGTCTGAGACCCACTCCACCTTCTTCCCTGGCGCCTGGCGGGCCCAGCTTATCCAGTAGCCACTGAAGGTGAATCCAGAGGTTGCACAAGAGAGTCTCAGAGACCCCCCAGGCGGCACCAAGCCTCCCCCAGACTCCACCAGCTGCACCTCACACTGGACACCTGCAAACACAGGGACACAAGGTGGACTGAGAATCACATGGAAGCACAAACAGGCACAGGCACAGGTCTCAGCACTCCCCTCTCCTTAGAATAACCTTGAAAAATGATCAGGAGGAAAACGCAGCTTGGCACCAAGTCCATGGTGGAGCCGCTGGTATCCTGTCTCAGGCACTTGGGTTCTGGGTGTCACCCCAACATGCAGGGCAGGGCCCTCTTTTATGAGCAGGAGGAGAGCCCCATTTGCATGGGGTCTGGATATAAGGGTGCAGCTGGGACCCTGAGCTGCATGCCTGACTTGTCATTCTACGGGGTGACCCCAGATAGGACAGGACTCAAGGATGCTGGCCACAAGGGGTCCCATCCTGACCCACCCTCCCTTCCTCCTTTCCGGATACCCAGTCACTCTGACCCCATTTCTTTGAGGGCTGCCTTCCAAGTTTGAGAGTCCTCCATTCTTGGGGTTTTGATGAGGTCCTAAGGGTGCTGCCCCCAGAGGCACATGGATGGGGCTTCCTTTTGCTCTCCTTCACCCGCCATTGGCCATGATGTTTTTCTGGGGTTTGGGAATAAGAATTCGCATTGGAGTGATGCTTTTATTTTGAGACGAAAAGATTCTCCTGGATATTTTCCTCAATCAATCTTCCACAAAACTCGAACGTGTACAAGTGATGAGGCAGGAGAGGCTGGGGTGTACGCTGTGGCCACAGCCTCCGTCTCAAAACTGCTGTCCCTGTCACAAGCATGCAGCTGCCTTATGAAACCACAGATTTCACTGGACTTCCCTGCTGCTCTTGTGCAAAAGGCCTGTTTCCCAGCCTCTCAAATGGGGAGAGTTTACATCTATTAAAAATGGAGCCCTGGCTGGTGTCGTTCAGTGGTTGGAACTCCGGCCAACACACCTAAGGGTGGGAACTCTTTAGATCTCATCCTGTTGAGGTGGCAGGTTTTTAATAATTGTGTGCACTTTCTTGTACACATGGGGAGAAACATGTATGAAGGTATGTTGTAAGTGAAGAAAGGATAATATGTTGATGTAAGAAATGTCCAAACATGGAGACAATGTTTCATAAGATTTTATTGCAGCCAAACTGATGATAACTGTTGGGAGCAAGACCTCAAATGCTCCGGAGAACAACCATTTGCAGCTGTGTTTGTGCATTTGAAGTTAAGGAGGGAAGGTGATGAAGACGACATGGAGGTGGGAGAAAGCAAGGCGGGGACTGGGTGACAAGACAGTTACCAGGAGGTGCTCTCCTGAGGGTGGTCATGCTGATGTCAAAGGTGCGTTAACCCAGATGCACAGAAACAATGGACGGGGTTGCTCAAGGCCTTTTAGTAAAGAAGTCATTGGCCTGGGGTGGGCTCACCCACCACAGCTGCCCCTGTAGGAATGTGTGATCAGAGTCTCCTGGGAGGTTCCTTTCAGTCCCTGAGTTTTGTCAAATTTACCACAGAGCCACCCTTTTTGTTCACAAATATAATCCCTAAAACGAGATACAGAAAAGGGCTTTCTGTGAGCTCTGTTGCTGAGCCTTGGAGCAAAACTAATTTAAGACGGAGCAGGAAATGTTATCTTTGCTTAACTCTCCACCTGCTCCAGGTCCTGGCCCTTTGCTGGTCCTGAGCGCCCCCTGGTGTTCCTGAGCACTCCCTGTAGCCCAGCCCTGCTGCCTCCCTCAGGGAGGTTTGTGTCTGGGCTCACACTGACTTCCCCTCACTGTGTTGTTTGTCTGTTGTACAGTAATACACGGCCGTGTCCTGGGCTCTCAGACTGTTCATTTGCAGATACAGCGTGTTCTTGGCATTGTCTCTGGAGGTGATGAATCGACCCTTCACAGACGTGGCGTAGTATGCAGTACCACCACCACCATTAATGTATGAGACCCACTCTAACGCCTTCCCTGGAGCCTGGCGGACCCAGTTCATTTCGTATTCATTGAAGGTGAATCCAGAGGCTGCACAGGAGAGTCTCAGAGACCCCCCAGGCTGCACCAAGTCTCCCCCAGACTCCACCAGCTGCACCTCACACTGGACACCTGCAAACACAGAAATGTCCTAGTTAGGAAACTCTCACACATCCACTGTTTCTCTCACTCATGCCCAATCACAATACTCAGTGTTTCTCCTCCATACATTACCTCTCAAAATAGCAACAAGGAAAACCCAGCTGAGCCCCAACCCCATGGTGAGTGGTCTGTGTTCAGTCCTAATCAGGAAATGGGAACAACTGGGGATCCCGGGACTGGTCTCCTGTCCCAGAGCTGCAGGGTCAGGGCTGGGCTGGTTTGTATAAGCACTAGGGGCCCTATTTGCATGTCCTCCTGCTATATAGGGATCTATGGGGTTGGAGACCTACAGGGAAGCAGTGCCTTCGTGCAGGTGAGAGTGTTCTGGGGGAGGATTGTGGTTGTAATAAAATTTCAATAACTAAATACTAAATCCTAAGTAAGTATAGAGCTTGACCAAGTACCCAAATATTAACAGTGAAGCCAACATCTGGCCTATGCCCTCCCCTGTGGACCCCACTGCTGCAGGAGACCTATACAAAGACCCTGAAGAGAAAATTTTCATAAAAACAAAGAGAAGGTTTAAAATGACAGATGCCTTTGACAGTAACCAGTAATGACAATCAAGGGAAATCAAATCTCACAACCATGTTCAGGAGACAGGAAGTTCCCTCTGACACTATTTTCCCTACAGAGTGATCAGAGGATAAACTAAGACCAGAGTGTGAGCCCAGAGCCTGTGGACCAAGTGTTGGGGGGAGAGAGGAGCATCTGTGTGGGTCCCTGGGAACCAGAAGCATGAGCTATAGAGACACAGACAGAGCTCCTGGTCCTCTCTCTTCAGGGGAGTTTGGTGCTTGACATGTAGCAGCTGCACTGCACTCATTTCTGTTTAATCTTCTAGAGTCACTTGTGAGACCTGTTTCTATAATTGGTGATATATGTGACACTCAGTCAGAACTAGGATTTGGTAGTGAAGGTGCAGGTAAAGAGTAGGGGTAATTAAGTTTAGGTCATGAAAATTTTGTGATTGGAAACGTGATGTCTGCATGTGGCCCTTGGGACCAATGTGACCATGTTCTCACATGATGGAGTCAACTGGAACCTGCACCTGACTCAGTGCCTCACTGGGGGGAAAGTTACCTGGGAACATGACGGGGGATTAACCAAGACCGAGGACACAGATGTCCAGGGTTCTTGCTTCATTAGGTTGTCATCTCCTTGTTGTTTAGCCACTTCAAGTTTTATTCCCTCACTTTCTCTGAAACAGCCACACTTATTTCCTAGAGTCATGAAGACACATTGTTGAGAATGTGCAGGGCCACAAGCCATTTGTGTGTTGGTTTTGTATATTATATCTTTCCTGAGTTCACTTTCTAGTTCTATTGGTTTTCTTGTGAAGTCTTCAGGGTTTTCTATTTATAAGATCATGTCAGATCCATGGAGTTGAAGAGAGATATTTGATGGGCTCCTTTCTGATTTAGGACTTTTTATTTCTTTTTCTTGCTAAATTATTCTGACAAGGACTTCCAGTTTTGTTCAATAGAAGTAGTCACTGGGGTGCCTTGGTCTTGGTCCTGATGTTAGAAAAATCACATTGATGCTGGGAATTTTGTGACTCTGTCTACAACTTCTGTGCAAAATCTTCTTTTATGCAAGCCCATGGCCTATTGCAGAGACCCAAACTAGTTACATCAGAAGTAGTCATGGCTTTAAATGGAGAAAAGACAAAAAATAAAAGTAGAATAATTTACATGTTGAAATTATGATGGAAGGAGATTGACCTGTTTTCTCAGTCTAGTGTTTTCAATGATGTCATGTTCAGAGGGAGGTTAGTGAAGAGAATTCCTATCATACTAGAGGCCCAGTGCACAAAATTCGTGCATGGGTTGGGGGTTCTCTCAGCCCGGCCTGTACCCTCTCACAATCCGGGACCACTGGCTCCTAACTGCTCGCCTGCCTGCCTGCCTGCCTCATTACCCCCAACCACTCTGCCTGCCTGCCTGATGTCCCTAACTGCTCACTTGCCTGCCTGATCACTCCTAACCACTCTGCCTGCCTGCCTGATTCCCCTAACTGCTCACCTGCCTGCCTAATTGTCCCTAACCACCTCTGCCTCAGCCCCCGCCACCATGGCTTCACATGGAAGGATGTCTGGACGTCCAGAAGGTTGTTCAGCTGTCTGGTCTAATTAGCATATTATGCTTTTATTATTATAGATAATTTCTAAGAATAAAGGAAACATCAACCCTGAGAGGAACCCCTCACTCCCAACCTCCATCTGCCCTTCCCATGGAGGGTCACTGTGGTCAGAGGGTGCTGGCCCCCCCCCAAACATATAACGCACTTAATGTATAATGTGTACATTCTACAATCAGACATATGATTTGGAAATACATTCTTTATGTTGATGTTTGTCTTTTCATTTGCACAATGGAATCTTTGATGGGACTCATGTTTTTAAATTTAACCAAGGCTAATTTAACAATATTTTCTTTATTGGGACCTGTTTGGGGTGATTTTACAAAGAATTCCCCAGAAAATTCTGAGCCTCCACTGTCCATGTGGATTGGCTACAGCATCCACAGGGACTGGAGCAGGTTCTGGTACCAGAGGGGAGCGCTGCTGGGAAACTGCCCATAAATCTGCATGTGACTGTGGAACTGGGTGAGGGGAGGAAGCTGGACTTTTGTGTCACATGACAGAAATGTGCCTGATGCTCAGGCAGAGAGTTACTGGACATGTGGGTTTAAAGCATCTTTCTGTGAAGACCCAGAAGGAAGTGCAGGACATGATAGAGACAGATTGTATCATTATAGGAAATACCTGAATAATGATGAACAAAAGCTTGTGAGAAATAGAAACATTAAAGATCATGAAGGCAGGGACGTAGAGAAATAAGGAATGTGTTACTGCAAACCATTGGGAAGGGGATCCCTGTTTCCTACATGCACATTCTCACAGTGTCTCTGTTCTAGAAGGTGACACCTTCCCAGGTCCAGGGGATTCTCAATTGGACACCTTTGGGGTCGTTACTGATTTACTCTCAACATTAATCACCCAAACTGCATTTTTATTGAGTCTAAATTTATGAAATCACTCAATACTGACAGGGAAGATTGGACACCCCTCACTGGAGGAGCCGTGGTGATGGTATGTCTGTATGAGGAGTCTTCATTTCATTGGACGAGGTCCCCTGTCTCAGTCCTTCATCGTCCTCCTCTTCTTTCTCCTTCTCCTTATTTGCTTACTTATTCTATCTAATAATAGACAAACATGGTAATTGACCATACCTTCGCTACACTTCCCATAGGCTAATCAGGGCAATATGCAAATTAACTGCCAACAAAGATAGCGGTTAACTGCCAACAAATATGATGGTTAATTTGCATACATAGGCACAATGCTGGGAGGCGGAAGAAGAAGGATGGAAGAAGCTGCCTGCCGCTGATGGTGATCGGAAACCCAGGCGGCAGGCAAGAGCCTGGTGGCAGGGCAAAGGTGGCCCTGGGTGCCGCCTTTGCCCTGACCCCTGGCCAGTGATCGGAGAAGCCTGGTGGGGCAGGGAAGAGGCGGCTGCCAGGAGCTGCCTCTTCCCTGCCCCCCCCCCCCCCCCCCCACCCCACGCCGCCCC